CCAGGACTCAAGTGGTTATAGCTGCTCACTGTGCCTTAGAGGATCTACTGGACAGGCTACACATGCAGAAAACTCTCTCTTCGCACCCACATAGTTAGTGTGAAGGTTACAAGGAAGGGGTGGTGTTAGGGTTATAGGGAGGATTAGTGTTAGGGTTACAAGGAGGGTTAGTGTGAACTTTACTGGGGGAGATTGCATGAGGATTACAAGAAGGGTTAATAATAGGAATAGAGGGAGGATTACTGTGACAGCTACAGGAAGGATTCATTTTAGGATTACAAGGAGCATTAGTGTTAGGATTACAGGGAGGATTAGTGTTAGGGTTACAGGGAAAGTTAACGATAGGGGTATAGGGAGGATTAGCATCAGGGTTAAAGGGATGATTAGTGTTCGGAGTACAGGGAGGATTAGTGTTAGGATTACAGGGATGATTAGTGTTAGGATTAGTGTTAGGGTTACAGGGAGGATTAGTGTTAGGGTTACAGGTGGATTAGTATTAGGATTACTGGGAGGATTAGTGTTGGGGTTACAGGGAGGATTAGTATTAGGATTACTGGGAGGATTAGTGTTTGGGGTTACAGGGAGGATTAGTATTAGGATTACTGGGAGGATTAGTGTTAGGGTTACAGGGAGGATTAGTATTAGGATTACTGGGAGGATTAGTGTTAGGGTTACAGGGAGGATTAGTGTTAGGACTACAGGGGGGATTTGTGTTAGGATTACAGGGGGGATAAGTGTTAGGGTTACAGGGAAAGTTAACAAAGGGTAAAGGGAGGAAGAGTGTTAGGAGTAGATGGAGAATTAGCATTAGGGTTACAGGGAGGATTAGTATTAGGATTACAGGGGAGATTAGTGTTAGGATTACAGGGCGGGATTAGTGTTAGGATTACAGGGGGGATTAGTGTTAGGATTACAGGGAAAGTTAGTGATAGGGCTAAAGGGAAGATTAGCATTAGGGTTACAAGAACAGTTAGTATTAGGGTTACAAAGAGTATTAATATTAGTGGATTAGGAGTGGATTAGTGTTAGGAGTACATGGAGGATTAGCATTAGGGTTACTGGGAGGATTAATATTAGGATTACAGGGAGGATTAGAATTAGGATTACAGGGATGACTAGTGTTAGGATTACAGGGATGACTAGTGTTAGGGTTACAGGGAGGATTAGTATTAGGATACAGGGAGGATTAGTGTGTTAGGATACAGGGAGGATTAGTGTTAGGGGTACAGGGGGATTAGTATTAGGTTACAGGGAGGATTAGTATTAGCATACAGGGAGGATTAGTGTTAGGATACAGGCAGGATTAGTGTTAGGAGTACAGGGGGGATTAGTATTAGGTTACAGGGAGGATTAGTATTAGCATACAGGGAGGATTAGTGTTAGGATTACAGGGATGACTAGTGTTAGGGTTACAGGGAGGATTAGTATTAGGCCACAGGGAGGATTAGTATTAGGCCACAGGGAGGATTAGTATTAGGATACAGGGAGGATTAGTGTTAGGAGTATAGGGAGGATTAGTGTTAGGATTACAGGGGGATTAGTGTTAGGATTACAGGGATGACTAGTGTTAGGGTTACAGGGAGGATTAGTATTAAGATACAGGGAGGATTAGTGTTAGGAGTACAGGGGGGATTAGTATTAGGATTACAGAAGGATTAGTGTTAGGATTACAGGGAGGATTCGTATTATCACATGACCGTTCCAACGTCTTCAGATCATTCCGTTGATCAGTGATCCGCTGTGTCCGAGGGACACAGCTCACCACTGATCGCTGCTCTGCGCGCTCCCGGAGCCCCGCATGCACGGTTAGAGTGGGAGGACGTCATATGAAGTCCTCCCAGAACAAGAGAACCGCTTTGCACCCTTCATTTCCTTATATGGCGGGCGGAGGAAGGTGGTTAAGATCCTGTGCACATTAGGAGCAAAAATGCCACAACCAGAGTGGCTCGTTGTAACGGAACCGGACCCGACTGCAGTCCTGGGGTATGCTGCAAGAACGATCCACAGCAGCCCTGGGAAACTCTGATGCCAGGTCCATATCTCCACTGGGGTGACCGACATCTACTTTCCTCATCTTGAATCCCGTTGGTGGTTTGGACGTGTTCACAGCTTGGAAGCACAATCCCACTGCTGTCACCAATGTAACGGAACCGGACCCGGACTGCACTAGGGTATTTCCATTAGACTCCCGCTTCCCTGTCCGAACACAGATCCACGGACACCACTGCTGGCCATACAAGACTAGACATTACCAGTCTTGACATAAATCAGGAAATAGACTGCTTTATTTTAACACAGACACAAGATATATACATTCAAGGGAACAATTCTCCCCTCCCTACATAAGGACACAGGGTGGGGCAAACCAAATCTAGCAAGAAGAAACACATCAGCAGACACCCCCCACTAAGCCAATACACAAACACATACATCCCATACTAGTTTGCTCCCAAGCAAGACACACAATAGAACATTGGGATGCAATCACATAACACCAAACAATCCACAACCCCCACCTATCTCCTATACATGTCTACACAATATCAGGACAATGATCAGCTGTGTCCAATCACAGCCGATCGCATGTAAATAGGGAAATGCCGGTTATCGGCATTCCTCTCCTCACAAGAGTCACACTGACATCTCGTAAGGAGAGGAGAGCCAGTAATCAGCATTCCTCAGAGGGGACATGATGATCAGTGTAGCCCCAGCAGTGCCACCTGTCAGTGTCCATCAATGCCAGCTGTCAGTGCTCATCAATGCCACCTGCCAGTGCCCATCAGTGCCACATCAATGCCACATATCAGTGCCTACCAGTCCACATCAATGCCACATATCAGTGCCCATCTGAACTGCCTTTCAGTGTCACCTATCAGTGCCAGTCAGTGCCACCTACCAATGCCAGTCATTGCCACCTATCAGTGCCACCTATCAGTGCGAATCACTGCCACCTATCAGTGCCCGTCAGTGCCGCCTATCAGTGCCACCAAACTGCCAGTCAGTGCCACCTAACAGTGCTGCCTATCAGTGCCAAATATAAGTGCTGCCTTTCAGTGCCCATCAGTGATGCCTGTCAATGCCCATCAGTGCCACCTACCAGTGCCACCTATCAGTGTCCATCAGTGCAGCCTATCAGTGCCCATCACTGTAGCCTCATTAGCGCACATCAGTGAAGGAGAAAAATCACTTATTTACAAAATTTTAAAACAAAAACTAAGAAAAAAAACATTTTTTTTTCAAAATTTTCAGTTTTTGACTTGTTTAGCAAAAAATAAAAAACCCAGAGGTGATTAAATACCACCAAAAGAAAGCTTTATCTGTCTCAAAAAAATATAAAAATTTCTTATGGGTACAGTGTTGCATGACCGCGCAATTGTCATTCAAGTGTGACAGTGCTGAGAGCTGAAAATTGGCCTGGGCAGGAAGGGGGTATAAGTGCCCTGTAGGCTTGTGGTTAATACACATGTAGATTTTCAGCCGAGAATATCCGTAAGAAAAGTCGTACAAAAACTCTTTGCACATTCGATGAATGGACGAATGCCGTTCGAAAATTGTCCCTGGCTTTTAACATTCAATTTTAAAATGAATGCAATTTCTGAACGATAACCACATACACTGGCTGAAAATTCGTTTGATCGTGAAAAGTTTTTCTTTCTGCCCCTTCGTATTTTCCCATCACTGCTGTCGAAAACAAACATCAATTTGACCCCACTAACGATTAGAAAATCAAGCGAATATTCCTGAAACGAAAATTCTTGAACGAAAATTAGCCCTGGTTCACACGGGATCCGGCTTTGAAATCATGGGATTTCACTTGAAGTCAGACGATTTTGAATTCAGGTGGCAGTGTGACTTCAGGTACGACTTGATAGACATCTGTGTGACTTCATGAACAGATGTTTATGCAAGTCGCACCCAACATCAGCAAAAGTAGGGCAGAATTTACTTTTCAAGATGAAGTCACAGCGATTAAAATGGTTTCATTGCTGATAATTGGATTTATTATTTATTTCAGGTACTTGTATCATATCATCAATTTACACACATATATATTGTACATTCACATCAGTCCCTAACCCTCAAGGGGCATACAATCTAAGGTCCCTAACTCACATTCATACACATATTAGGGCCAATTTAGACAGGAGCCAATTAACCTACCAGCATGTCTTTGGAGTGTGGGAGGAAACCAGAGTGCCCCAAAGAAACCTACGCAGGCACAGGGAGAACATGCAAACTACAGGCAGGTGGTGCTGTGGTTGGGATTCGAACCAATGACCCTAGGACTGCCAGGCGGAAGTGCTAACCATTTAGCCACTGTGCATGTGATTTGTCATCTGACTGGTCAAATCGCATGACAATTCGCATCAGTGTGAATCAGGACTTAAGGTCTGTTCTGTATAGACTTCCATAAATCTGTTTTTGTAGTATCACTTCCTAAAATAGCTTTTGTTTTTCATCTGCACAGTAAACTTGATAAGATTCCAGCACTCATAAAGTCAAAGAGAACCTGTTTATATTCCACCAGACATCCTTGGATTGGCAGCAATTCACTAAATGAGACACAACAACAGATCATGTGCTTTCTGAGTCTGATTACTGCTACAGTGTGACAATACTTTCATAAAATATTCAACATAGCATAGTAACTTTTGTCTGCGTCTGTAATGTAGAGGTTACACAGACCAGGCCAGGCTCATTGCTAATAAATGTTGGTAGATGATGACCCTGTGCTCTGGTCTGTGTCTTTTCTATGGATGTGATGGGGTGACACCGGAGGACTGGAGCACATATCAGCTGGAAAGCATCCCTGCTGGTTGATGAGGAAGATACTCTGATGCGATTATCGCTTATGTACAGCACAGAGTGGAGAGATCTGACCACAAGCAGAGAATGTATAGCCCAGGGGTATTGAATTAGAATTCAAGGAGGTCTGGTCACTAAAATTTTCTTCTGGAAAAGGTCCGAATAGGGTGTGTCCCTTACATTAGGTGTCGCCATCAGAGTGCAACTTTACATCATGTATTCTGATCCAGGGGCGGACTGACAACTGTTGGGGCCCCCGGGCAATAGGGGATCATGTGGCCCCTGTGTCCTTGCCCAAACTCAAAAAAGCCTATGAAAAAGGTACCAGGGGCATCTCATGGGCCCCCTACTGACCCTGGGCACTCGGGCAGTGCCCGAATTTCCAAATGGTCAGCCCGGCCCTGTTTCGATCACATCAGGTGTGCGCATCAGAGTGCCCCTTTACATCAGGTATCCCCATCACAGTGCCACCTTACACCAGGCATTCCCGTCAAAGTGCCCCCTTACACTCAAAGTACCCCTTTCCATCATATTTCCCCATCAGAGTGCCCCTTTTCATCATATTTCTCCATCAGAGTGCCCCTTTACATCATATTTCCCCATCAGAGTGCCCCTTTACATCATATGTGTCAATCAGAGTGCCCCTTTCCACAGTATGTGCCCATTTGTGCCCCCTTAGCATAACATGTGCCCATCCGAGTGCCTCCTGAACATAAAAGATGCCTGTCAGAGTGGCCCTTAACATAAAATAAGGGGCACTCTGATGGGCACATTTATGCTAAGGGGCACTCTGATGGGTACATTTTTATGCTAAGGGGCACTCTGATGGGTACATTTTATGTTAAGGGGTACTCTGATGGGTACATTTATGTTAAGGGGCATTCTGATGGGCACATTTATGTTAAGGGGCACTCTGATGGGCACATTTATGTTAATGGGAACTATGATGGGTACTTTTTATGTTAAGGGGTACTCTGATGGGTACATTTATTTTAAGGGTCTCTCTGACGGGCTCATTTATGCTAAGGGGCACTCTGATGGGTACATTTTATGTTAAGGGATACTCTGATGGGTACATTTATATTAAGGGGCACTCTGATAAGCACATTTATGTGAAGGGGCACTCTGATGGGGCACATTTATGCTAAGGGGAACTCTGATGGGTACATTTTATGTTAAGGGGCACTCTGATGGGTACATTTATATTAAGGGGCACTCTGATGGGCACATTTATGTTAAGGGGCACTCTGATGGGTACATTTTATGTTAAGGAGCACTCTGATGGGTACATTTATATTAAGGGGCACTCTGATGGGCACATTTATGTTAAGGGGCACTCTGATGGGTACATTTATGTTAAGGGGCACTCTGATGGGCACATGTTTTATGTTAAGGGGCACACTGATGAGTACATTCTATGTTGTGCCCATCAGAGTGCCCCTTAACATTCAATGTGCCCATCAGAGTGCCCCTGTAAGACTACACCCTACCTTAAGGGCAGACAGGAGCTGTGCCGGGATCCTTGCTGAAGGATGCTTGTGTACAGGTAGGGAGCGGAGGCTGGAGAGACAGTGAGCTGCAAGGGGCGGGGTGCACACATGATGCCATATTGCTGTGATGATTTCCCTGCTCAGCGGCTGATCTGTCATTGCGGGCTGGTGGTCCAGAAGGGAATGCTGCTGGGACCCTTCTCAGACTGCGGTCCTCCATTTAGTGACCGCTGGTATAGACTGAAGTCTATTTTGACCATCCTATTATTAGGAGGTCAGTTTATTCTGGTGAGTGAGTCAGAAGCCATAGATAATGCAATTGTATTTTCTTCAGCCACAGGTTGACCAGCGCTGGATCGTGATCAGGCTCAGATAACTATAAGGGAGGTGGGCATCCTCTGTACAAAAGGTGTATTTACCTTAATGCTGAGAATACCTACAACCACTTTAAGGCTCCATTCACACTTCAAAAGTCACATGACAAGCCACATCCCATGATTTCCAATCAGTACCATTCATATCTATGTGACTTAAAGTCGCAGCAAATTCAAAGTAGTCCATGTACTACTTCGGTCCAACTTTCATGCGACTTGAGGTCCATAGACTTCAGTGTTAACCCTCAAAAGTCACATGACAGTTGTACCTGAATGTTTTACATGAGTCAGTTGTGCAACAGTTGTCCATTTGATAGGTTACCCTGATGAAGTCACGTGCTGAGCGTGACGCAACGCGTCGGTACATGGGGAGGAGCTTCCATTAACGTGGTGACGTCATTTCCGACGTGGGGGCCATATTGGATCACCCTGTGTATTACCCATGCAGTACACCCATAGCATGTGGTAGGAGGCTGGATCATTTCGTTTTTTATGTGAGTGGAACTCTATTTGTATCTATCTATCGCTGAATAAAATTAGTTGCACTATGGAGGGTCTCTGTTTGTGTTTCATTATGACCCTGGGAGGAGCTGGCTGCTGATCTGGTGGATGCTGGAGGTGCAAGGCGATAACCAGAGAGGAATCCAGTCTGATAGGATCGTTTGATCCTTATAGCGTGCTGGCCCTTTGGGGTCTAAGTAAGGAGGTGAGGGGGCATTTTGGCCGCTAAACGATTGTCACGTGTGAATCACGCACATTGCACATTACTTTTGCATGAAGAGTGGAGTGTGAAGACTATCACTAAGCATTGCATCATCATTATTATTAGTATTATTAATTGTTTGGACTTTTCTTGTAATTGAATATTGGTTCATCTTTTTTTGAGCACTGTATCTGTTTTGCCACTATTGTTTATGATTATATTTGTCACTTTTTTGCACGAGATATTCCCTGTGAGGGAATACACGTATGACACCATTATATATTTTACTGATTACTTTGGATTTATATTTGTAGGGGTATATTGAGTTTGATTAATTGTATCACTTATTCAATGGACATTTATATTTATTATTTATTAGCGCTGCACTGTTTATTTTAATTTTTTAGTTGTCCATTTACATTGGTCAAAGTCTAAGTTGCATCCAAGCCGCACCCATCCAAAGTTGCATCTAAGTTGCACCAGAGTTGCACTCCTAAGCCGCGTGCGACATTAAAGTCATACAAGTGTGAATGGAGCCTAAGCCTATTAATTCAGATTTAATTGTTTATGGTTTTAAGACATCACGGTTTGATTCTTTACAGTGTGCAGCAAATTAATTGACGTGTATTGATATTCATTCATTTATTTATGATATACATTATAAGTATTGAACACGTCACCATTTTTTTTTAGGTAAATATATTTCTAAAGGTGCTATTGACATGAAATTCTCACCACATGTCAGTAACAACCCATGCAATCCATACATACAAAGAAACCAAAACAGCCCGAACCTTGTCCTCCAAAAGTAACCACAGTGGCTCTATAATATTGAGGCCTGGCAACTGCTGAGCCCAGGAAGGTGTGGGACTTTGTCTGCATGCTCATCAAACCACCATATTACAACACCAGCTGTGTCAGTAGGAGCATTATCGTCTTGGTAAATGGCTTCGGGAAACAATGTCTGCACCATGGGATGCACATGGTCGGCCAAAGTTTGTACATAGTCGCTGGCCATGACTCTACCTTTCAAAGTGATGATGGGGCCTGATGAATACCAAGATATGGATGCCAAAATAATGATTGCTCCACCACCATGCTTTACCATTGGTCGTAAGCTTGGGATGGTGTTTGCCACATGTAAACACGTCTGGAGGTTGGGAACAGTATGAAGCTCAATTCATTGGACCATATTACAGTCTTCCATTGATTGATAATCCATGATTTACGGGTGCTGCACCACTCTCTCCTCTTCTGAGCATTGATATCGGTCACTACTGGTTTGTCAACTGCAGCTCGCCCATGAAGGTTTTTCTAACACGGCTTTTGTTGACACAGGCTTTGGAAGACTGAGATTGAGCTGTGCAGTCACTTTTACAGCAGTTGTGTTCTTATTCTAGGTCACAATCCTGTGCAATGTTCTTGTCTCTTTCGGCCAGTTGACCATTTTGACCATGCTTAGGCTTATCAGATGACATTTTCCTGGAAGGTGTATAAGCCATCATAAACTTTGACACTGCACCTGGCAACATGAAAAAATGAATTGCCAACTTCAATCACAGAGGCACCAGCTAAGAGAGCACCAAGATCAGTAAGCTCTGACATGACCCCGTATTACTAGCAGCCCATGCAGTGAATGATGAAATGAGGATTCACACCTGTTAGCTAGGTGTCTCATCCCACAGCAGAAGTAAAAAAAAATGTTACATCACTTGCTCTTTGAATGCAAAAAGAAACATGTCATCACTTTCACACCTACAAATCATGTAGTGTTTACATACTTTTGTTATATATATAATTTTTTATTTTGTTTTACATTTATTTATTTTTTTTTTAGTGTTTTTTTTAGATGTGAATGTTATTTATTAGATAGTGGTGCTGCAGGACAGTTTGTTGAAAAACAGACTGACTGGCTGTGTCACCAGATTAAAATAAAAGAAACTTAAAGCAGAGCTCCAGTCAAAACATAAAAACGTAATATCAGCAGCTAAAAAAACTGTAGCTGCTGACTTTTAAAAACCAGCCAAACCAGACTGCATTATTTTTCTAGTGCACTTGTTACCTGATTGTTCAATTGGACTTTATAGGCTATAGCCCTTTGTACTCAATCATTTCTTTCAGGTTCTTGCTGGTTTATCATATTGCTCATGTGTTGAGGTTGATTTTTACTGCAGGTTATCATTTTCCAAAGGAATACCACATTATCCTGTTATAGGTGTGTTGGGGGATGGGATATTCGATCTAGTGGGGTCTGGGGGTAGGGGGGATGATAGTGGGTTGGTGTTATACCTCAGCTCCCTTCTCTCCCTTCTGAGGGAGAGGGGGTGGTTGGTTGGTTGGTTGGGTGGGTTTGGGAGGATCACTGTGGGAGGAACATTGGGGTACCTTGGGAGGTGCTCTCGGGGGTTCTTGGGGTTTGTTTTGGTTGAGAGTTGGAGGGATTGTTGAGGGGTGGTTGGGGTTTCTGAGGGTGGTGAGCTGGGTCCCTACTGTGGAGGTATGGGTGCTGTGTGCACACAGGGGACATCTTTGGTACCATTGGTGTCTATTGTGGGTGGTTTCCTCCATGCCAGGAGTGGGGGCTTTCACAATTGGGAGTGATCACCAGGTCCCCGATAAAATGTGTTTTTACTTTGTATGTTTTCTACGAATAAATACGTTTTTGAGGTTAGCATTTAGGTGTGTAGCCTAGTTTCTTTTTTCTTTGGTTTTTGTATTATATGCTTTAGGTAGTATCCTTCCCGATTGTTCTGGAGGCACCTCATTTTTTTTTCTGGAATTCCAGTGGACTGCCCAGTTTCCCTCTGCTCTCCCCTTTTTTCCCCTTCTTTTTATTTTTTAAAAAACAGCCATTCACCTGTCCCATGATCCAGTGGTGTCCTCACTGCAGCCAGTTTCACCGGCCACCCTCTCTCCCTGATGCTGGCATCTTAAGTGTAGTCACCCGCACTTCACAGCGAGGGTTCCCACTGCACATGCGCAAGTAGTGCTGCGCCTTGTGAATGGTCCCATACAGGGGCGGACTGACCATTTGGAAACTCGGGCACTACCCGAGGGCCCGGGGTCAGTAGGGGGCCCCATGAGATGCCTCTTTTACCTTTTCCATAGGCTTTTTTGAGTTTGGGCAAGGACACAGGGGCCCCATGATCCCCTATTGCCCGGGGGCCCCATGAATTG